TTTTTTTTTTTTTTTTTTTTTTTTTTTTTTTTTACATTTTTGCTAATAATTTGTCTTAAATACAGATTACGTTTCCAGCCGTTTGTCAGCGTCTGCCTGTTTATATACAGACCCAGTTGTATATTGTACTGATATACATGACATGTTCACATTGTGTCCTTACTAGGAAATAAGATCCAACTAATTACGTTTACTAAAACAAAATGTTTCACACTCTTCGCTCTATAAATGTGTTTTTGGCACTTTTGGTGCTTTGGCGAGTCTAATTTACGTCTGGTATAAACAATGTGAAGTGGCTCCTTAACGCAGGACCGCCACGAAGACAGCCTGTCATGTTGGACGTTAGTTTGCTTTCAGATAAAGATATGTTGGTGTAGAAGGAGCAGAGTACTCGATCATGCCCGTCTCTGTTCATCCTGTGCTCGCAGATAAACCCGCACACTATGTCATACAGGAATCTTGTTGAGTATGCAGGAATGGATTCACCTTCAAGGAGAGGAAGATAAAAAGAGTGTTTTATCTAAAAAATGAATATTGAGATGGTGGGATTCAACCAATTGGTCATTACTTTAAGTCTATTAAAAAACAAAAAATGGAGGCGCCACCAAATGTCAAAGGGAGTTTTCACTGGTAAGAACAAAAGCATCAAAATGCTAACAGAATCCAGAGGCAAACACAGACCCCCTTCATCAGAGCTTATAAATATTCAGAAGAGGGTGGTACCTAGAGCTTATGGTGTCTATTAGGGATGCACCGATACTGGCATTTTGGTACAGAGTAAGAGTACCAATAAATTTTTTCCGGTAATCGTCGATACCAATTACCGAGTAATGGAAGTCCCATTCAGGAAGCCAAGTGGCGTGTAATGACTCGCCACCTGGCTTCCTGATTAGCCGGGAAGCCTGGCAGCATGCAAAGACTCGCCACCCGGCTTCCCAATTAACGAGATGACGAGGGAGCATGAAGCCAGCTTCCCGGCCAATCAGAAAGCAGGGCGTCGCATTCATTACACAGCGCCCGGCTTCCTGATTGGGCGGCCAGACGGCTCCGGCTGGGTACCGGAGGAAGGACGCGTTCTGGCTGGAGAGGCCCCAGGAGTGACAGGCTGGACATACTAAGGTAAGGTAACCTTACCTCACGAGGACGAGAAAGCATGATCCAGCTTCCTGATTGGCCAGCTTCCCGACCAAGTCGGCTACATGCTCTCTCATCACAAGTGACGAGAGAGCATGGAGCTGCTTCCCGGCCAATCGGGAATCTGGGCAGCGTGTAATGATGCGCTGCCCGGCTTCCTGATACCGGAAGTACTTGTGCTAGGCATCGGAGCATTTGGGCGAGTACGGGTGCTCGCCCAAATACTCGGAATCAGCACCGATATGGATACTAGTGTCGGTATCGGTGCATCCCTAGTGTTTTTAGGCTCTTTTGAAAAGGGAATACGGATTCACCAAAGGGGTTCTACCTCTCCAGTCAATCATCATGTAGCAATAAAAGATTGATCTGTAGACCCGGACAATTTGGGCAAGAGAAAATGTCAACCGCATGGCTGCCTCTCCTGTGTATACAGGAGTTCATACAGGGATTTATCAAAACTGGAGCAGAAGAATGTGGAGCATTTGCCTATGGCAACCAATCAGCTTCTCTCTTCATTTCAGTTGAGGTTTGGAAATGAAAGCTGGATGCTGATTGGTTGCCATGGCCAACTGCTCCAGATTGTACCTGCTGCGGTTTTGATAAATCTCCCCCATACGAAGTTGCCAGAGCAGTATGATGCCATTCAGATGCGAGCAATACGAGAGAGGTGCTTTGCGGGTGAAAAGTTACATTCACAGGCAGTGAAAGCAGCCCAGGAGAGCTGCGTGGTATCTGGCTATTGCATTGACTCGGGTGTTTGCGGTTTTCCTATTGCAAAGGGAGTGTAATGTTTGAGGCCAGTGCCAGGGAAGTGCATGAATATTTCCCTCAGCCGATCGGTGTCAGGTGCAGACAGCGCGGCACACTTGTACTGATGATGATTTGTGGACTCTATTGGCTCTAATAAAGGAAGATTAATTGCCTGTCAAATGATGAAATAAAAATGAGCACATGCTGAGTTGCACGCACAAAGCAGCTGGGTGTCTCTGCCATTTCTGTGCTGACCCTAAGCACCCTGCTGTGTGGTTTTACAAGCCGGTGCTCTTACACATTGTGCCGTCTCTCGGCCTCCATGTCACTCAACGGGCTCTCATCCTCCTCCTGAAAGGCAGATACTTTTATAAGGAAAATAGGATCGCCTACGTCTGAGGCCAAAACTTTCTTTTTTCTGTTTTGGATGGAGTAGGAAATAAAGTAGTATAAAACTCTCAAACTTTTTTTTCAATAATGTATCAAGATCAAGCAAATATACAAAGTATGTCTTTATATTTGTGCCCAAGCACTTGGTCATCATGTTTCCAAATAACTCCTACTCTCTTAGCTCAACTTCCCTGAACTTCCCGTTCAGTACAAGATCACAAGGGGAGGGCACAGAGTCTAATAGCTATCCATCTACTAGCTTGGAGGGAGAAGGGAGGAAGAAGAGGGGAGCAAGGGGAGGAGAGTGGCTTGTCCTGCTGTGTGTGTGTTTGTGGGGACACACACAGATTACTAGTTCACAATGGTGGCTCCATAGGACCCTGCAAGGGAAAGGAGCCACCCTGAAACAGGAGATCAGGGCCAGCACTTAGGAGACTAAAACCTTTAAGGGCTCATTCACACGGGAATCGGCCGGCACGTACAGCTCCGTGCTGCGTGCAGAGCCGTATCGGACAGCTCCCGGGAAGGACAGGTGCTACGTGTGATTAGTATGCAGCCTCCGTCCTTCTCTATGGGACTACTCGGCCCTACGCCGCCCTACGCTCACCCGCCCTGCACGTCCATACGGGTGACGGTGAGCGTTCTCATACGCTGACGGGATGGATCCTGTCTGTGTCCGAGCCGGGACACACGCACCCATACGCACCTGCACTTGAGGTGAGCGTAGGGCGGCGTACGGCCGCGTAGTCTCATAGAGAAGGACAGGGGCTGCGTAATAATCACACGCAACACCTGTCCTTCCCGGGAGCTGTGCGTGTCGGCTGATTCCCCTGTGAATGAGCCCTAAATGTCAAAAAGCAGCATCCATTGAAAGTGATTTCATCAGCATTTGAAACTGCTTAAAGCCCTTTGGACTCTAATATCACTTTATCCTTTTAACTAGGGAAATTTTCCTTCTCTTCCTGCCTTATAAACGCAACAGGAAGTGAAATGAAATCTTGCCAAAGTGTGAGAAATGCCTTCTAATGTTGGCCATGCAACTAAAGATTTTGCAGGGCCTGAACGGAAGGAATCGCGCAATTTCCCCATCCATGCTGAAGAGGGTGGCGGGATGAATCTTTTCTGCTGGCTATTGTATACAGACAGATGGCACCCACAACGGTCAGGATACCCAAACAGTGACTGCAGCTGGTTTTAGATAGAATGGTTGAAGGTTTAGAACCCATGGCAGGTTTTTATTGCTGTCTGTAGACTCATTTAGAAAATCTCACTCTTATCTGTCCAGGTGCCCAATATCACTGGGACATAAAGCAGGGGAAAATCGACCTGGTGGAGTCTTCATGGGACACCCACAGCTCGAATTATAGCCAATTCAAATGAACCAGCTTAAGTCAGTGGGTGAAATTTATCAAACCTGAAGCAGGCAGAATCTGTAGCAGCTGTGCATGGCAACCAATCCGCTTTCAGTGAAGGTTTGAAAATGAGAGAAGCTGATTGGTTGATGTGCACAGCTGCTCCAGATTTTGTATGCTCCAGTTTTGATAAATCCCAATAACTGTCTTCTATTGCTATGCTGGAGGCAAGTCAAATATTTGGATTTTCCCCTGCTTGAAGTCCCAGCGGTCACCTGGACAGATAGTGTGAGTCTTTCTAAGGAGGCTACAGACAGCAATAAAACCTGACATGGGTTGGAACCCCTCACCATTCTATCTAAAACCAAAAAAAGAACAGTTTTGAAAACACTTTTTAACATGTATGTAAACCCTAAGTATGAACTTCTTTTTATTTGCTCCCTTTTGGTCTGATAAATATACAATTAAAATCTGTCCTGTGCCCACTTCTTGTGTTATCTCAGGGAGTCTAATTAGCCCTCCTAGTTCTTATAAGACAACTGGGCATGACTGACACCGCTGAAATGCTGTGTGATATCCACCAAAGTTCTGTGTGTTGCCAGTCCAAAACTGAGAGCATTTCTGGCAGATCAACAAGTATTTTTCCATAATTGCATTGTTATACCGCGAGCTGTTTGATAAACATTTGTGCAAAAACCGTGCGACATAAAAAATTGCAACTAGCATTTTTTTATTCTACAGGGCCTCTGCTTTCAGAAAATATATAATTGTTTAGGGGTTTGAAGCTGTTTTCTAGCCAAATATTAATATTTTATCATGTGCGCAAATAGTAAGGAGATGCTCCGGACAGCAAGTGGTTGCAGAGATGAACTGCATATGTTTTTGAGGGGGGTTTTGCCCTGACATACACATTGGGGTACACTGTATTTATAAAGCAGTAAATTTGATGTTCAACAAATATTGCAAGTAAATCCTGATGCATGTGTTTTTTATATGGCCATGATTGGGGAAAGTCTCATTCACTCTTTATAAATATGCCACTTAAAGAAGAAGTCCTGGGATAGATAAAAAAAAAAAAAAACGTACTCCTGCAGTGTGGCTATTAATGCATTGCAAGGGTTTTGTGCTTGTTTGGTCTATGGGGCTCGAATATAGCAGATATACTTGTCTGATCCTTGATCCTGTGGTGGTCAGCACTCATCTCATCTGTGAAATGTCCCTCGGGGTCCTCAGGTGTAATGCAAGTCAATGGACCTACATTAGACATGATGAAGTCAGCAGTCCTTAGACCACCGTAGCCTAGGGGAGAAGAGGCTGTGGGGCCCGGCCTAGCAGCCCAGTGGGATCGAGGATCAGGTGAGTATATCTGCTTCATTTGAGCCTCCTAGAATAAACAAGCACTTAACCCTTGCAGTGCAGGGGTGGCCCTAATGCAAGGGTAAGGTAATTAAATGGCCGGAGTTCTTCTTTAATGTACGATTCAAAATAATATATCCAACAGGATCTAATATGGAACGGTGCAGAATTGATGGGTGAGTAGCCAGCTTTATATATCAGTACCCAGTCTTCGGGTTCTGTGCTCCTTGTACTGTATAACATAGACATGGGCTTTAGAGTCCATGATGTTCTATCAAACTTGTGTTGTGTTCGCTCTGTCCTCTCACCATGATCCCCTCATCCAGAATATGCTTTTCCTTCTCTCCCGCAGACCGATGATCTCATTAAAGCTCTGCAGGACCTGGAGAATGCCGCCTCTGGAGATGCAGCAGTAAGGCAGAAAATTGCCTCCCTTCCACAGGAGGTTCAGGACGTGTCTTTACTGGAAAAGATTACAGGTCCGCTCTAGGTTGCGTCCCTCTGTGTCCCTTTTGAAACTGTAGATCTTGTTGACAAATTATATTTCAAATGGCTGCTTTGTTTTAGAAAACAACTTTTGTTTTCTTTGAGTGTTTCTGGCACTCAACAGTTTTCTTTTAGCTTTTTCTTGATATATAAAGCCTATCTACGGGCAAACCAAAACAACTACCCTTGTAGTGGAGCTACTCCCACACTGCAAGGGTTAAGGTGCTTGTTTATGCCTAGGAGACCTTGGTATTGCACGTTTACTTACCTGATCCCCTCTCCCCAGTGATCAGCCCTCGCCTCTCTTCCCTCCAGCTGGTGGAATGTGCCTTGATGTCCTCACATCTAATGCAGGTCTATGGAACCTGCATTAAACATGAAAGAGGTCAGCTTTTCATAGACGGGCGGATCAAAGGGGAGAAAGGACTGCAGGGACCAGTCCAGTAGCCTGGAGGGAGCCAGTGGGAGCAGGGAATTAGGTAAATAAAAGTGCTTTACTCCAGTCCCTAGGCATAAACCAGCACTTAAGCTTTGAAATGTGTGGTTCTCACACTGCAGGGGTAATTCTCCCCCCGGAGATGGACTTTAAGTGACTTTTACTAATATATTTGGTATTACATTTTTGGGTTTGGAGGTTACAGGGTTAAAGGGTTAGTTTACCCTTGCACAAAAAAAGGAAAGGCTGAACAAACTCCCAACAACCCTGTTCAACTACCCAATCCCCTGGTCGCCTCTGCACTTATGTGTAATGATTAGATATCCTATCCTATGAAATATATTATAATTAGGGAAGCACCGATACCACTTTTTCGGTATTGAGTATGGGTACCGATATTTTTTTCCGCTACTTATCATTACCGGAAGTCCCATTAAGTAAGCCGGGCGGCGTGTAATGACTCGCTGCCCAGCTCCCTTACTAGCCATGGAGCCAGCTTCCGGGCAATTGGGAAGCCAGTGGGCGAGTCATCACCCGCAACCCCAACTTCCCAAATGGCCCGGAAGTCAGCTCCATGATGGAGCAAGCTTCCCGACCATTCAGGTCGCCGCTTGGCTTCCTGATACCGGGAGTTCCAGTATCGGGAGCATTTGGGCGAGTACGAGTATCGAAATATGTGCATCCCTAATTATAATTGTCACTATCACACCATCAGCTCCATGATTTGTTTTTAATGGTTAATTCTTATGTATCACACCATCAGTCCCATGATCCTTTCTAATGAGGAGGTGAAAAAGTGTAATGCTAGCCACTTGTAAGCAGCTCCTTTCCAGAGCTCCCCAGTAGTTAGGTTGCAGGGAAAATGCAACCTGGGACAGCATGGTTGCCATGTAGCAGTTGCAGTTGATATAAAGGAGCAGAGCTTTCTGACTACAGTGGGGGAGCCAGGTACCATCTACCTTTAACATCTCCCATTATTTCTTGCCATCAGGATTTACATTATTGTTCTTTTTCTCTGCTGCCACTGTGAGCAGGCTCTATGCAGCACCCAGAGAAAGGGGTGGAAGACCATTACAAGAGGTGGCAGTAGGGGGCCGATGGGAATTTTGTGTAACACTCCACAAAGCCTCTGCCTCTCTGCATCATCCAATTTTGCAATAGACATACATAGTATGACTTTGTGGCTGATAATTTTAGATGTTTCCATGACAGCAGCCAAGTCTAAGTGGTGCAGACAAATTATAGATGGCAGTACGAAGGTAATATTTACTAGGTCCACTTTATTAACATTGACATTGCCTTTGTAAAAAAGATTCATAGGTATCAAGGTGTACTTTAACTTAAACTCTGCTTCATCTACCAAAAACTGAGTGGACTAACCCTTTAATACTATTTATTATTTATTGTGCGTCTCCGTGCTTGCACAGGCTCCTAAATTATCCATTGCCGCCAGATGATAATGTTCAGATTTTGCTTTTTGTGATGCAGGAGCTTCACTTCAGTAAAATATGTCATCAGACCGCCTTAAAGGACTTCTAAACTTGCTTAGTATTGCCCAAATTTGCATTCACATTGATTTATTTTATCCGTAATCCCAACAATACAAGTAAAGCCAACCTTTTTTTTTTGTTGTCTTTGCTTCTATTTTGGGTCACAGGAGCATATTTACTAATGTACTCATGTGACCCAAAGTCAGCATATAGTGGGCTAATGCCTGCGATCTGCTGAAAGCGCAGAGCTACGCCACAGCTGCAAGGGATCCTGGCAATATTGTTGGCATCCACCCCGGCTCCCTAAGTGACAGTTGGCTCTGCCACTCTAGAGCCAGAGCCAGCTGTGCCCACCCCCTCCCCTGTCTGTCCCTCCAACGAGCGCTGAAGGAACCGAGAGGGGCCAGAGTAAACCAGGGGGGCAGTGACTGATATTCACTGCTTTCTGCAGGGAGAAGAGACCAAGAGCTGAGTGATCAGCAGTTACATGATTGCTCAGCTCTCAGTATAGAGCCGGCTTGTAACAGCTGCAGTGTCCCACACCAGCTCTAAGCAGCGGGGAGATGATATTTTACGCTCCTCGCACTTCTCCTTTACACTTTTCTGGGCAGGATCGGTCTTATTTCGACAAGGCATGTAGATCTGGACTGCTGTCTCATTTTAATTAGGATTAAAATGGTTGCTGATTGCTGACAATGTAGTAGTAATTAATAACTGAAACCTGCCACGGCTTGGACTGGATGGATGCAGAAATCCAGGAGCAAGCTGTTAAATTCCTGTAACTTGCATGTTTTATTTTTCAGACAAAGAGGCAGCAGAGCGACTTTCCAAGACAGTAGATGAGGCGTGCCTGCTGCTGGCAGAATATAATGGGCGGCTAGCGGCAGAACTAGATGATCGTCGGCAGCTGGCGAAGATGCTATTGGAGTACACACAGAGCCAAAAGGAGACTTTAACAAACAAGGAGAAGAAGCTAGAGGTAAGAGCTCACGTCTCGGGATGTGTGTGGGTCCGAGATGGTTACTTGGTGGTTTTTATCTCTTGGTCCTACCTATTGTGGATGACCGCCTAAAGCTATCAGCATTCCACTAATTAAAGCTAAAAATCCAGACTAAAAAAATAACAGAGCCATGTGTTTTCTTATTTGGCTTTTGGTGCCCTTTGTATATTCCTTCCAAATCTGTGCTGAACCAGCTCCAGCATGTTGACTATGTTCAGGAGTTTCCAGTACTGTAATGCAGACTAGTCACTGCCAGGGCCAGATTTCCCACAAGGCCAACCGAGGCCCGGCTTTGGGCACTCAGGGCTAACTGTAGAGCGGGGAAGGCGCTCATTCATTTACAAGTGATCTCGGCGATGTTGCCGAGATCACTTGTATGCAGCCTGCTCGTTCGTCCTCCATCGCCCTCACCACCTGGTTGCCATTCTCCATTGGGGGGGACCTGGCCTTAGGGCAGCAGAGAGAGTAAATCACTGCTGCTAACTCTTCCTGTTCAGGGTGACTGGTCTTGTATCCACCTCCAATAGAGAGCCTGTAGAATGAGGGTCTGCTGGGTCTTACCTACAGCTCAGTTCTAGGCACAAGGTATGTGCAGTCCAGTAGTAATGTCAGTACGATTTGTCCAAAATAATATCTGGGTTTCCAAAGGTATTTGGTGCAAACAGTCGATTTTATACATTTTTGGCTATTGAGAAATGTATTGAAATGGAATTTTGTGCCCAGAGTTCATCTTTAATGGCGTAGTCCACACAGAGCTAATATTTGGCAGAAACTTGAAATATCTGCCAGTTTCCTATAGCTTTCAGGACCTTGTCACCACATGCTGCCTATAGCAGTTCTCCTTCTCATACGGAGGCCATTACAAGAGTCTCGTTGTCATTAATTTTACAGCATGGGAATCCAGTAAGAGGAGCTTGACGTCCTTGGTTGACTTCATTGTGTTGAACCTAAAATACTGCATGGAGAATACACAATGAGATAATGCAACATTCACCCAGATTTCAAATATCTGTTTTGGGTGAATTTAAAATGAACCTGTAGCTGTTTCAGCCTTGGGCAACCACTGCTTGGTATGTTGCGTAGTCTGTCCCCAACACAAAAACAAGAAGTAAAGGTAAATCTCTTTAATGGGAACACAATGAAAACCCATCAGAGCTTTAACTTTTACCCACTTTTGTTCCCCATTGGAAGATTTTCCCTCTATTCCTGTTCTGGTGGCACCTCCAAATTTTGCATTTACCCTCACTTTCATTTCCAGTGATCAGGACAATTGCAGAGAGTGAATCTGCCACTGTCTGTTGTGGTTCCATTCGCTGGACCCTATGTCCTATAGCAATGTAGCAGCCAGCAGGAAGAACCACGGCTCCCAGCAGGGGACATCCTACCCAACACACCTGGACTCGTCAGCAGGAGCTCTTGAAGAAAATTGAGTATTTTTCTGCTTCTACAGGGTGCCTGTCATTTAACTATGTTGCTGAGGTGACAGGGTCCCTTTAAAGAGACCCCGTCAGCAGACCAATCATTTCAGCAACAATCTTCTATTCTTTATACATGAATACATGTGTTATTGAGCTATTTCATGCAAGTTATTTACCTGTAAAAGCCTCCTTTTGTGTAGACATTCAAAACCTGAGACTGCTGCTGGGTGCCGCCATCTTGGATGTGTGGTCAGCCACCCCAGAAGGCTCAGAGCTGTCACTCAGTAGTATTGCCTTTCACTCCTACCATGGCTGCAGCATAAATGTTTAAATAGTTTGCTTGAAAATAATATTATAAGCGATAGTCAGCACGGATTCACAAAAGACAGAAGTTATCAAACAAATCTACTTTCTTTTTATGAGGAAGTGAGTCATAAATTGGACAGAGGAATGGCTGTGGATATAGTATACTTGGACTTTGCAAAAGCGTTTGGCACAGTTCCCCACAGGCGGCTAACGTATAAGTTAAAGTCAGTAGGTATAGAGTATTCAATCTGTAATTGGGTAGAAAACTGGCTTAAAGACCGTATTCAGAGAGTGGTGATCAATGATTCATACTCTGAATGGTCTGAGGTTGTTAGTGGTGTCCCTAAGGTTCAGTGATGGGCCCCTTACGGTTTAATCCATTTATAAATGACATAGAATTTGGGATTAAAAGTACTATTTCTGTGTTTGCAGATTACACCAAGTTATGTAGTGGAATACAGTCCTTACAGGATGTCTCCAACCTACAAGCAGCTCTGAATGCACTGTGTGATTGGGCATCTATTTGGCAAATTAAGTTTAATGTTGATAAATGTAAATTCTGCACTTGGGGACTAAAAACATTCATGCTTCATACACTCTAGGGCAGGGGGTGGCAAACTCAAATTCATCGGGGGCCGCATCAGCAGTATGGTTACCCTCAAAGTGCCGGTTGTATAGGACTATGCATCTACTCTTTATTATCATAAATAGTTGCCTCTGCATTCAGTTGCTACTGGTTTTAATAATAATTTAAGTAATAACTAGCCTTGAAAACAGAAGCCTAGGAAGAATAACAGCAATCAGTATTCAAATGTACAATTATTGTACAACTTATTAAAACATTTTTTTAGGAACTGGGCTGGCTGTATCAGGCAGATGCGGCCCTCTATTGGCTGCTGTGCGGGCCACATTACAAGGTCCGGCGGGCCGGATTCGGCCCCCGGGCCTTGTGTTTGCCACCCCTGCTCTAGGGGGAGTATGTTTGGGGGAGTCCATGATGGAGAAAGATCTGGGTGTTCTGTAAATTTTGTACGCAATAACAGCACGCAATGTCAAGCCGCAGTTTCTAAAGCAAACAAAATACTTTCTTGTATTAAGAGGGGTCTAGACTCCGGAGATAGAGACATCATCCTGCCCCTATACAAAGCATTAGTAAGACCTCATCTGGAATATGCATTCAGTTTTGGGCACCAGTTCACAAAAAGGATGAACTGGAGAAAGTGCAGCGAAGGGCGACTAAACTGATAAGAGGCATGAAGGAGCTCAGCTATGAGGAAAGATTAACTGACCTGAATTTGTTCTCTCTGGAGAAGAGGCGATTAAGGGGGGACATGATCACCATGTATAAATACATAAATGGTCCATTTAGTGAGCTTGGTGCCACATTATTCCCTTTAAGGTCACTGCAAAGGACAAGGGGGCACTCGTTGCGTCTGGAGACACAGACCCTTGGTATTTCCCCTTTTAAGATAGAAAACAAGATTGAGGACACATAGTCCTCAATCTCTTTTTCTGCAGTCCCTGTTATGAATGAACAGGAAGCCTCTGTACTGAGTGTTCCTGTTCATTCATAAACTGAGGCGATAGTATCAGTTACTCTGTCCACAACCATGAATGAACAGGAAGTGATGTAGAACACTTCCTGTTCATTCATAACTGGGGTCACAGTAAGCGTATTATGTCTTCAGTTATTTACAAACACTTATTTACAAACGATCAGTGCTGATTGCTGAGCTCTCCTCCCCGTTGGGCGCCGGCAGCTGGACTTGCTTTGCGCCCCCTCCGATCCACGCTGCCTCTGCCAACACAGGCTGGGGAAAGCAGCGGGGATCGGAGGGGACACAGACCGGTGCCCAGCGGGGAGGAGAGAAGCTAAGGATGCACTACATTTTTGGCCATTTTGGTACTATCAGCATTATGCCAATAGTACCATTTTCAGTAAAAATTTCAATGCATCCCTAGTGTACTCATACTTAATTCAATTCCTTCAATAGCAGGAGTCTTAGGATGATTTCTAGGCTTATACTTTCAGTGAAGTCTATACAAATAGGAAACACTGAAAGAATCTGCAGAAAGAAGACATAGCCAGCAGCACTGTGCTTCTCTCGGGTGGTACCTACTATTTAAGAGACAGACTCTGAAATTCCTTCTTTGGTACTTGCACGGTGCCAATAAAAAGTAATTTTTTTACACTGATCAACAGAAATTAATTGTTTTTAATGTCAAAGTGAAAACAGGTCTCTACAAAGGGATTTAAACACACCATCCCAACTGTAAAGCATGGTGGCAGCAGCATCATGCTATGGGAATGCTTCTCTGCAGCAGGCCCTGGGAGGCTTGTGAGGATACAATGAATGCAGCAAAATACAGAGAAATCCTGGAGGAAACCTGATGCTGTCTGCAAGAAACCAGATACAAAACCGAAACTGCACAAGTATGGCATAATGACCTGGAATGGTCAAGTAGAGTACAGATCTCTATCATGGTGTGGTTGGACTTGAAAAAGGCTGTCTGCATATGATTCCTATACAACTGGATGAAAAGCTAATAGAGACCCATCCGCACAGTTATTTATTGCAGTTAGCTGCAGACAAGTTAGACTACTTGGGGCCCGTTTATCAAACTGGAGAAAAATCCTGGAGTGGTGTCTCAAGTACAAAGTTCAACTATATTTTATGTGTTTTTTTTCCTTGTTAAAGCTGCTTTAACAAGGAAAAAAACACATAAAATATAGTTGAACTTTGTATTTAAAACAGCTTAAATACATTGCAGATGCATCAAAACAGAAGGTGGGCAGCCCGATTACAAAAGCTGCAGAAAAGGACCCTTGCTCTTTGTTTGAAAGCAGTGGCCTCTCTGCTGAGGTCTGACGCACCCCCTGCTAGAGCTCTGCAAAATAGCAATGATGATGATTATAGGGCTCTAGCTCAGCAGAGGGGTTATATTGGATCTCTGCAGAGTGACCACTGTTTCCACACAAAAAGCAAGAGTCCTACTCTGCAGCATGCTGGCAGGTAGGTATGCACTGATACAGAGTATGGGGGCGAATACTCGTACTCACCCAAATGCTACAATACCTTCCCTGACACCGGAACTACTATTCAGAGGGAGATCTCCCTCTGACCGGTAGTGCAGAGGGAGCATGGAGCCCGCTTCCTTTCCAATCAGGAAGCCGGGCGGTGGGTTATGACTCACCAACTGGCTTCCTGATTGGCTAGGAAGCTGGCTCCACGTGTTGCTAAGCAGCCTGGCTTC